CTAAATGGGTTTAAGCTCCTTGATTTGATCAGAGGCTGCTGCTGAGTGCCAGGGCTCGCCCTGGGGCAGGAGGTGGCATCTCGGTGTGCTCTGGGATGTGTCTGCAGAGCCCTGGGGGTTTCATGTGGAGTGCCAGCATGGTGGGGGTGGAAATGTGTACTGGCTGGGTGCCAGGAGGTTCAGGCTCTTTTTCCAGGATGTAGCTCCCAAAGCTGGATGAGCCTGACTTGGCTCCAGTGCTGGTGTGGGCTGGAGGCCATGGGAGCAGAGGCCGATGGATTTCAGTGAGTTGGGGATCCAAAGGAAATGGTCTGAATCCCATAAACCTTTTAGGGACATGATGTGAAAGGTCTCTAACACTGAGTAAGTTTAGTGTAGTCCCACACTTCTCTTCATAATGGGGAAGAGAAAAGAAGAAATTATCTTGATATGTGCATGAACTCGTGTAAATTCTCTTTTTGCTGTGAATGCTTTTTAGAACTCAAGACTGCAGCATCCAAGCAGGTCCTCCCTTCTCCATTTGTCTGCATACACAAGTCAGCCTCTCTGGCTCCTTCTTCCCTCCAGTAATGTTCTGATGATTCAGTTTCCAAAACCTTCCCCAGCCATGGCACAAGTCTGACAGCCAGGTAGTGTGCAGCAATTCTGGGACTGACCATGGGCTGCAGGTTTTTTCTGGGTTTTGTTTTGTTTTGGTGTGTTTTTGTTGGTTTTTTTTTTTTTTTTTTTTTTTTTTTTTTTTTTTTTGCTGTTGTTTTTCAGCTAACAAAAAAATACCATGGCCAGAGGATGGTGCAGGCAGGGGATGTGATGGATGGCAGCTTTACCCAGAGTGTAAGTGTCACCTGCATCTGAACACACAGGTCTGGACTGGCTTATGTTAGCCCTGATCAGTGAACTCAGTGACAAAAAGAATTTGGTGTATGGGTTTGGGACCAAACAATTCTGTGCATTGCTGATATTTCCACATTTTGTCTCCGAAGCGTTGTTTCCTTTGGTACAGATTACAATATGGGTTCTGTAATTTCTGGAAATCAGCACACCAGCTGATGAGCCATGGAGGAATTCAATATCAGACTTGAGAATTTATTCATGTGCACATTTAAGAAAGACACAGAAAAGTTGTAATTTACTGTGCCCTTATATGTTCCCAATCCTGATTTCACACCCAGCATTCATCAGCTCTGTGTTGAAGCACAGGTATGCCTTTTCCATGAAGATGTGTCCATGGCACTGTTCACCTCTGTGCTTTTAGTAGCTTTACCAGAGTTAGGCTTCCTGCAGGCTGAGTGCAAGAGATGAGGACTAGGAGGAAATTCTAGGATAAGGAGAAATTCCCATGCAAGAGCAGCGAGGTGCCAATCCTGCCTCTCCAGCCTGCAGTGCCTGCTGTGTGCTGCAGCCTGCACGAGTTCATGGGCAGCTGCAGCTCCATCTGCAAAGCTGTGGCCTGGGCTTGACAGTTTGCCAGACCTCTTCTGTCCTGGGGACCATAAAGTTGTGATTCCAGATAGCTGTTGGAAAAACAGCTATTTCAGATCCAGCAGTAAACAAAATGCAATTAAATTTAGCTTTATTTAGTGTTTGTGTTTTTGATTATCCCAAAGCACGTATTTTAAAATAAAAATGTTTCCAGCTCTATGGCATCCCTGAACATTTAAAGCTGGAAGAAGTAGGGGATGACTCAGAAAACCCTTTGATTCTCACAGGATTCTTTGCTTCAGAACCATGTGTGTTTGGATTTTAGTCGTGGAGCAGCTGCAGCTTTGGCTGAATAAGGACTGAGCATCTCTGGCTGTTGGGGGCCAGTGCCAGCCCTGCTGGGATCCCCTGGGGAAGGGCACCGGGAGCTGATGTTGCCCTGCTCAGTGCCCAGAGCTCAG